AATGCACTGAATAAATGAGTAAACCACACCTTTAAATATTTAAAACAATAACACCTGCCTGCTACGGAAACCTTAAACTGACAGAATGACTGAGAAACACGGTTAGAATGAGCTTAGCTGTAGTTTAGATACGTTATGAAAGGTATTTGTACATCCAGTAAATTATGTCATACATGTTTCCAACGATTGAAGTAGAAAGTTAATCAGACGCGATTTATTTACTTAAATCACTGAAAAATGTGAAAATATTTCATAAAATGAGATTCCCATTCTGCAAATGGAAACATATATAAAGTAACTCCACTAGAGCTTTGTGGAGAAAATCATAATAGAGACTTTTAAATCCAGAACTTCTACACCTTCCCGTAGATGTCCTGCACTATCACACATCTCTTTTGACACGGTGGATCCATGCTTGAAACTGCAGTGGCATGACATGCATCATCCAGGGTCTGCAGAAGGGATACCTGCTATTCCAGACCACAGTTTCCACCTCTACATAGAAGAAAATGACAGGAAACGAGAATATGGAGTTAAGTACAAGATGGTGAACTTGGCACAGGGCTGCAGTTGTGCATGGTGGGTGTAACATGACATGTACAGCACAGACATCTCTGCAGGTAAGAGTTATCATCTAGAAAGGCATCAGAGGTCCACGTGTCACAGCGCTGCCATCTGATACTTCAGCAATGACCGCCAGGCAGTCGTCTTCACTAATAACTAATAATAAGTGCAGTGGCCACTTTTAAAGCACATTTGAAAACACACCTGTGTTCTTTGGCATTGTAGACGGGCTATTTTACAATCAGGTGACCCGGGTTTTTCTCATGTCTTTTGAAGTTTTAATCTGTGACACCTTATCTTCTGTTTTCAGTTCCTTGAGGGTTTTAATATTTTATGATGCTTTGTGAACTTTTGAATTTCATTTTGTTCGTTTTTATTATCATTCCTGTTGTGCAGCCCTTTGGGCTAACAATGCTGTCATTTAAATGCGTTATATAAGTAAAGGTTGACTTGACTTGACCAGACCAACGCACACGCACGCACACGCACACACACACACACACACACACACACACACACACACACACACACACACACACACACACACACACACACACACACACACACACACACACACACACACACACACACACACACTCTAAAACCCCTCTCACCTTCAGGGCATTCATTAAGCAAATTCAATGATCAGTCCTGCATTTTTGAAGCGATGAGGAAATTCTTTCTCACTGTGACATTCTTTGCAAAAAGCAATAATAAAAAATATATTTTTTTAATTCTGTCACTTTGGTTCTGGATCATTTTAACAGATAGAAAAAATAAACAAAAAAGCATTTCTTAAAGGTGTGGTTTACTGAAAAAACATTTTTCATCATTTCTGATCATAATTGGTCACTCTGACTTCTTCATGCAGGCTGAACATGGAAATGGTCTCCTACATCTATCTCCTGCGTTAGTTTCTGATAGAAATGGATACAAGGATTTAAAAATCCTCACACATCTATGTCACACAGTGAATTTGCATTTGTGGCCACGCCCATCTTGGCTCGTGCCTGCCCGGAGGAAAACTTTTTAAATGCTTTTTTTTTTTGCAGCGAGGAGTGAGTGTGGAGAGTGTCTTTGTGGTAGTGACTTTTCAACATGGCTGAATGTGTTCTTAGCCAATCAGAAGCCAGGTGTGTGCATATCATTAATAATGAGCAGTCCTGCCATTTTCAGTCCATCTCTGCTCCAGCTAACTTCTGCATCTCAGAACAGGAGCATCATAGCCTTTATTTTTCATTACACACAAGGCATTGGTTCACACTGCAAATGCACTGAATAAATGAGTAAACCACACCTTTAAATATTTAAAACAATAACACCTGCCTGCTACGGAAACCTTAAACTGACAGAATGACTGAGAAACACGGTTAGAATGAGCTTAGCTGTAGTTTAGATACGTTATGAAAGGTATTTGTACATCCAGTAAATTATGTCATACATGTTTCCAACGATTGAAGTAGAAAGTTAATCAGACGCGATTTATTTACTTAAATCACTGAAAAATGTGAAAATATTTCATAAAATGAGATTCCCATTCTGCAAATGGAAACATATATAAAGTAACTCCACTAGAGCTTTGTGGAGAAAATCATAATAGAGACTTTTAAATCCAGAACTTCTACACCTTCCCGTAGATGTCCTGCACTATCACACATCTCTTTTGACACGGTGGATCCATGCTTGAAACTGCAGTGGCATGACATGCATCATCCAGGGTCTGCAGAAGGGATACCTGCTATTCCAGACCACAGTTTCCACCTCTACATAGAAGAAAATGACAGGAAACGAGAATATGGAGTTAAGTACAAGATGGTGAACTTGGCACAGGGCTGCAGTTGTGCATGGTGGGTGTAACATGACATGTACAGCACAGACATCTCTGCAGGTAAGAGTTATCATCTAGAAAGGCATCAGAGGTCCACGTGTCACAGCGCTGCCATCTGATACTTCAGCAATGACCGCCAGGCAGTCGTCTTCACTAATAACTAATAATAAGTGCAGTGGCCACTTTTAAAGCACATTTGAAAACACACCTGTGTTCTTTGGCATTGTAGACGGGCTATTTTACAATCAGGTGACCCGGGTTTTTCTCATGTCTTTTGAAGTTTTAATCTGTGACACCTTATCTTCTGTTTTCAGTTCCTTGAGGGTTTTAATATTTTATGATGCTTTGTGAACTTTTGAATTTCATTTTGTTCGTTTTTATTATCATTCCTGTTGTGCAGCCCTTTGGGCTAACAATGCTGTCATTTAAATGCGTTATATAAGTAAAGGTTGACTTGACTTGACCAGACCAACGCACACACACACACACACACACACACACACACACGCACGCGCGCACACACACACACACACACACACACACACACACACACACACACACACACACACACACACACACACACACACACACACACACACACACACACACACACACACACACACACACACACACACACACGTCAGATCAAAATTGCATCCTCGATTGTGGGTTTTGTTGCTAGATTTATGAAAGAAGGACGAACAAGAATGATTGTGTAAAGCTGTCATAATGCTTACAAAACCTGAAACGTGATGGGGTTGGCTTCTTCTGTTTACATCATCAGTGGACCAGGAGCAGGTATCATGATGGAAACGACACCATCTAGTGGTCTAATATTATTAAACGTGCTTTACACCTGAAAGACGAGCATCCTAACTGTACTGCAGTTTATTATTCTCTATTTTAATGAAACATTTAATGCTTAAATTCTGGATGTTACATACATTTTTTGTAAATTATTGTTATAAAGGCTGTAGAAATACATTTATTTGAATATTGTGACTTTGGTTTAATATTTAATGTTTTTAGCTGCAGGTGAGGGTTAGCCCTAACCCTCACCTGCAGCTGCAGGACAAGTCAGAAGCTGTAAAACACAGACCAGCATGTTTTAATGGATCTTAGTTTATTCATCAGCTGGCACAGAACAGAACCAGCTCTCTGGTGGGTGTTGGTGTGGAGATCCACCAGTAACTCGCCTTTCACCTGGTTTCTATCTGCAAACATCACATCTCCTGTGAGTCTCAGACTTTTCTACAACGCCCCAAGGTGCTTCACAACAAAATCAGTCATTCACCCATTCACACACTGCTGGGGATGAGCTACCATGTAGCTACAGCTGCCCTGGGACGCACTGACAGGAGAGGCTGCAGAGCACAGGCGCCACCGGTCCCTCCGACCACCACCAGCAGGCGAGGGGGGTTAAGTGTCTTGCCCAACGACACAACAGGATTGAACCTGCAACCTTCCGATTATTGGACGACCTGCTCTACCTCCTGAGCTTCTGCTGTCCCCATTTCTAATTTGTATTTTTATGTCTGCTGTAGAGACCCGTTTCCCTTACAAACCTGAATACGCTTCAGAAGTGACTTCATTTGTCACTAAAAACTAAAATCTTGTTGCTGCTTTTTGCAAATTAAACCAAACTTCCAGTTAAGTGTCCAAGCAGATCTGGCACTGAGTCAACCGTTAGGTGCAGTGCTTCCAAAGAGCGTATCGATGAGTGGAAATCAGGAAAAACAATCCAGGAAGAGACGGCGGCGGCGGCACGGACGTATTTTTATTTCATTTAGTTGTTTTACAGATATTCTGGACTGTTGCTTAGCAACGAACCAAAAAACTTCAGTAAAAAAATAGTAATCTAAAGTTTTAAAAACCCAAATTCTTGAATGAATAAATAATTAAACAACATAAATAAATAAATATATAAATAAATATGATACAAACACAGTACTTGTCAAGTAGATTTCCCAGCAGACGTGGAGTTTTGAACGTTTGGCAAATAAGTTTGTGTGTGTGTGTGTGTGTGTGTGTGTATGTATATATATATATATATATGTATGTGTGTGTGTATATGTATATATGTATATATATATATATATATATATATATATATGTGTGTGTGTGTGTGTGTGTGTGTGTGTATGTATATATATATATATATATACATACACACACACACACACACACATATATATATATATATATGTGTGTGTGTGTGTGTGTATATATATATATATATATATATATATATATATATATATATATATACACACACACACACACACACACACACACATATATATATATATATATATATATATATATATATATATATATATATATATATATATATATATATATATATATATATATATATATATATATATATATATATATGTGTGTGTGTGTGTGTGTGTGTGTGTATGTATATATATATATATATATACATACACACACACACACACACACATATATATATATATATATGTGTGTGTGTGTGTGTGTATATATATATATATATATATATATATATATATATATATATATATATATATATATATGTGTGTGTGTGTGTGTGTGTGTGTGTGTGTGTGTGTGTGTGTGTGTGTGTGTGTGTGTGTGTGTGTGTGTGTGTGTGTGTGTGTGCAGTATTATCTGTAAGGTGTGTGCCGTTTTAATGCATCAGTGCGTTTCTGGCTGCAGTCACGGTGTTTTTCATGAGCATGGCTACAGTCATCGGACCCACACCTCCAGGAACAGGAGTGATGAGCCCTGCCTTCGCCTTCACTCCTGTAACACACCAGAAATAAGACTCCGAGTTGAGGAATGCTACTTAAGCTGTTTTAATGACATCAACTCTGTAGGATCACAGAATTTTTATTGTTTTGCTTTTACCCTCAAAGTCGACATCCCCGATGAGCCGGACCTTTCCCGTGTTCCAGTCCTGGATGCGATTTATGCCCACGTCGATGACTGCTGCACCTTCTTTCACCATGTCAGCTGTGATCAGCCCAGGAACACCTGGCAACGGTTCGGTTTTGATGTGTTTAATCACATTAAAGTATGAAAATCTTCTCACTGGTTGTCTGAACTCACCTGCAGCTGCGATAACGATGTCGGCCAAGCTGGTGAGCTCTTTCAGCTGTTCCCTCGGGGTGCACCTGTGAGCGATGGTCACCGTGGCATCACCTGAAAGGTAAACAGGACCTTTAGGGAAAGTCCAGCCTCATCTTTCTTCTGTTACAGACATTCATTCTTCACACGGACACTGATGGAAAGGAAGCGCCTCTTCAACAACAGCAATGGAGGACTTGCTGAATGTAGTGCTGCTGCGTCCTGTTGAGTCACGATCATGGACGTAATTTTGGGGGGGGACAGGGGGGACATGCCCCCCCCACTTTTTCCAAAGTCAAGTTTTGACCCCTGCACTTTTTACCATCCAAAAACAATATTACGCTATATTAAATTGACACTAGTTGAGCTCTAGGACCAAGCAGAAAACAACCGTTTGTGTTGAAGCCTGTTTCCCATTAGAGCATACTGTAAAGATTCACCCCCCCCCCCCCACACACACACACACACACACACACACACAAACACACTCCGTGTCCCCCCCCCCACTTCTAAAGTGAAAATTACGTCCATGGTCACGATCAACAGGTAAACGCAGATTCCAGCCCCCTCAAAGCTGTGTTTAAAAAACAAGATGTGAGACACGAAACTAGCATCAGTCACCAGGAAGTTCTTCTAGATTATAGGGCTGCCCCTGAAAAATACCCTGTGGGCCGGCTTGTTCACAAACACGAGAGACACGAGCGTTCCTTTTACTGATGTTTAATGCGGTCTTGCGTCTTCTTTAACTTTACACCACATGAACACCGTAGAACTAATGAAAAAGCATAAATCATGTACAGATTAACACGTTAGTTGCCTTAAGTTAGCTAACATATGGAGTTTATAAATAAAGAATAAACATACCACTTTGGCCGCTAGTAGACAAGTCGGTAGACTTGAACACTTAACTTTCTTCTCAAATGTTCTTAATTGGCACAAATTTGTCCGGTCACAATGGAGCTCTGAAATTGAGGCCAACCCGGAAGTGACAAAAATTGCAGTTCCACCCTCATCCACTAGGGGCTGGTGTCAGAAGCGAGCAAATCCTCATTGACTCCCATGTTAAAAATACCAATTTGACAGCAGAAATAAACATGTTTACAGCCTGGTACCAAAACTTGTTTTTGGTTTAAATGATCTAGTTTACACTCATGACAACTCTGAGGGGGGTGAATGTTTTTCTCACTCTTCTGTTTAAGTGTATTAAAAGCCTAAAATTCTGTATAATTAATGAGCATCAGACCCACGTGACCACAGAGCTAGCTCCGGGGAAAGGCCTCAGTAGAGCCTCGGTCTGGCTTGGAAACTGTTCCGGGATTTTCAGTCTCTCAACTTAGACCATTAGTTGTAGCGTTTGTGCGTTCTTTTTGGATATTATTTGTGCAATTGTTGGACAAAATGACTTGCTGTGGCATTAATTGCACTAATAGAGCGTCCAAGGAGTCTCCACTTCATTTTTTTTTTTGGTAAGTAAAATTATATTTATGTATTTTAAGTCACTGCCGAGCTGAGCTTAGATTTTAACATGTACTGTTTAACCATGAAATGTAAATGTAATAGGGTAAAACCCAGTGCATTTAACATAATGCTGCACTTTAGAAAATGGGTTGAAAAATAACATGTTGGTGGAGCTGGGTTCCCACTATCGGCTTGTGGAGCTCTCGGGAGACCGATGTTTTCCACCTGTTTCTCCCCTGGCTTCGCGGCTTCTGTCTGCTGCGCGGGCTGACGGCTTGTGGAGCTCTGGGATGGAAACCTTTCCACCCGGTTCTCCTCAGCGGCAGCTCTGCACAGCGGCGCTTGTCTGCTGTGCGGCTGCCGGCTTGTGGAGGTCTCGGAGACCTCTGTGTTCCACCCGGTTTTACCCAGCGGTCAGCCCGGCGTATCTCTGACTCAGAAGCTCTGGTGTTGTGCACAGTTAACTCCAGTTGTAGCTAGGTTGCTACCTCCGTTAGCTTAGCTCCCACCTCCGTGTTAGCTTTGGATTAGCTTCAGGTTAGCTTGTAGCTAGTTCGACCGGGATGTCGTCAGTTGATCCCAGCCTTACAGCCCCACCCTCAGCTCCACCTCTCTTTCATTTTGTGGAATTGTCTGGGCTTGACGGAACATGTGACACGGTCAAAATGGCGGTGGTGGCCACCTCCCATTTGGCCTCAAAAACGTGTTATTGGAGTCTATGGAAAGGAGATGTCCAGTAATATTTATGTCGACGGTTCGCATCAATAAAATCTCCGAAGCTACATCTTGTGGTGAAACCTTGAACAAAAAAGTTGCTTAAACTACCTTTACACCCTGTAAGGTTTTTGTTCACTACACAGGACGGGACCATCTGGAGGGTCTTGTGTTTTTATCGGGATTTGCTGAGCAGCAACAGTGCAGACAACTGAAAACACATCCATCGTCTTTCTCTACAACTTTGAATGGTGTGACATTGTTAGAAATTTCACCACAAACTCCATAAAATCAAACGTGACCCTTTTAAAGAGATAGTTTACACACATTTTAATATATATGCAGTGGTATCTTGTAGGAATTAATGCCTTGTTAGTCGTATTCGGGGGGAAAAAAGCTCTGGTGCACTATTTCCAGGAACTAGAAGAGCTGTGGGCAGGTTTTGGAGTCTTATTTCCTGATATTTGGACACATCCAGTGTCCCATGCTGATATAACCAATGCCACTCTATCACTGACTCGGTGCAGAGACACGTAACGCCATTATGCATCGGCGACAGGCTCGCAGAGGGCGACGGAGACCTGTCCAAAATTTTAAACATCCGTTGAAAGTGACTGAGGCTGCAAGCTTGTGATTGGTCAGGACGCCGCTTCCTGTGTATTCGTAGCTCCGTTAAAAAGTTAACAGACATTTTGCGGCAGAAAAAGTTCAAAAATACGAACATTTTTTCACGCGTGACTGAAGGAGTCGAAAACACGAGCAAACGTGGACGGAAATGACGGGAAACGCGGGTTTAGAGGTGGCGACCGCATGAAGAGGTGGAGGAGAATGAAGGACACATTTGTCCGTGTTATAAAGTCTCAGAAATATATAAACACATTAGTAAATAATAATAATAATGCATTTTATTTAAAAGCGCCTTTCAAGGGACACGAGGACACTTTACAGCAATAAAACAACAAAGAAACCACGTTAAAAACAGCAAAAATCACAAAGAAGCCGAAAAATACAAACTAGATAATAAACTCAATGAAGATGGAAAAGGTGACACTAGCAGTGTGCCGTCTGGAGCAGGTGGGGTTGGAGTCTAGATTTAAAGGAGGGGGGCGAGTCAGAGTTACGGATGGCTTGAGGGAGAGAATTCCAGAGATGGGGAGCAGAGCTGCTGAAGGCTCTGCTCCCCAAAGTGCTGAGACGGAAAGGTGGGACAGAGAGAGTGATAGAGGAGGATGATCTGAGGGAAGGGATGGGAGAGATGATGTGAATGAGGTCAGACAGGTAAGGGGGAGAAAGGTTATGGATAGCTAGTTCTGGACCAGTTGGAGCTCATGGATGGACTTTTGTGGTAAACCAAATAGGAGTGAAGAGCAGTAGTCGGTTCTTGAGGTGACAAGGCTGTGAACACGTATGGAAGCAGAGTGGGGGGGTGAGAGAGGGGCGAAGGTGATTAATGTTTCGCAGGTGAAAGTAGGCAGACCGAGTGATGTTTTTGATGAAGGATTGAAATGAAAGAGTGGTGTCGAGGACGACACCCAGACTCTTAACCTGCAGGGAAGGAGAAGCAGAAGAGGAATCAACAGTGAGGGAGAAGCTGGGAGCTTTGGATAAGCTGGATTTGGTGCCAACTAAAAGGATTTCTGTTTTGTTGCTGTTAGGTTTGAAAAGATTTGTAGTGAACCAAGATTTAATTTCAGCTAGACAGGAAGAGAGGGAGGCGGGTGGAAGTGGAGATTTGGGTTTTAAGGAAAAGTAAAGCCGGGTGTCATCGGCAAATACACTATCGGGGACCGGATACACGAGAGTTATGGTGGCAGGATATCACAGAAAAAACAATACGCCCTCTGCTGTCCTGGCGGGGAATTACTTTGCAACACTCCGCTGCCTGAACAGAAGTTGGAATGTGAAAACCTTTCCGACACTCCGTGTGCGTCTCTCCACTGCGGAGCTCACAGAGAAGTGCCTTGAACTGAATTTATTAACAACTTACAAACAATTACCTGAAATTATTTTAAATTCATTGCTGCTTTGTCTAAAAGTTTCAGAGCATTAACTAATAGTCTTAAAATGAACTTTCACTTGAAAATACAGATTTTCAGAAAAGGCACTTGAGCCTTTTCTCCTGCAGCACTGGATTGTGGGTAATGCCCTTCACCCAAGTCCGCATCACTGCAGACTTGAACCAAGGGTGCAAAAGGGGCGTGATCAGCTTCCACACTTGAGAATCGGGACATCTTACGCGCTCACACCCCTGGTATTGGAATTGGGCCTGTGACACAGATCTGTCAGAAGCTAATGCAGGAGATCGGTGTAGGAGACTATTTTCATGTTCAGCCTGCATTAAAAACTCAAAGTGACAAATTTAAATCAGAAATAATAATTAATAACTGGTTTCTCAGTGAAGTACCACTTTAAAATATGTCTCACATCCAAAACAGGAAACATTCATGTGATTTGAACCAGACATCGGTATAAAAGCAGGAAAAGCCAGGAGCATCAAAAATCCCACTCTAAAAGGTTCCTTGTTGCTTCGTTTGAATGAGTTTGCATCACATAAACAAGTTCCTGCAGAGATTGTGACATCATACACCTGCGTTACTCAGAAACGACCCGATGTCACCAAGCTGACAACCAAAAACATGTGACTCGTGTTTGATTGATTTATAAATAGTGACTTGGAGCTAACAGGACATTTCATTTCCCTTCAGGTCTCATCTCATTTTTTTCTCTCTTGGGATAAAAATCCTGGGAATGAAAGGGTGGGATGAACTAAGGAATCTGATGTGTGAACTTGTTGAGACTGCTACAGACCGTGTGTAGGACTCCCATGTAAAAAGACTCAAAACGACAACAAAAAAACCTAAAAAGATTTCTCTTGAGCTTATTCTTAAATGTAGAACAGCAGGAACCACAGCTGCAGTTTTCGTTTCATTACAAAAATGCATCAAACGCTCTCCAAAGAAAAAAAAGGTTGGTGCAATCCTGCACTCTTATTCTGATCACCATGCTAGTAGTTTTACGGTGCTGAAAAACAGCAATCGCACGGATAAACCCACACACACACCTTCTCTTACCTCCTGGGCGTTCGTGGTGGCGGTCGGTATGCAGCAGCATTGCAATGGGCATTCCAACATTTTTGGAGCGACCGGCAACCAGCACATTCTTTCCCACAGTCTCAATGCCTGCACAAAAACATGTTTTCTGTAAAAAACAATCCTTTTTTCCATCTTTTTTACTCCTCACTTCATTTCTAACAGTTTATAAGAGCGTCGCCAGAGCTTCACTGCCCTCTAGAGGGTATTTTTTGCAACAAACATAAGGTGTTAAACAAGATGTTTACCTGCTCTTTTGATGATCTCCCAGACAGCTGCAGGTGTTGCAGGTACCATGGATCTCTGGTCCAGGCACAGCTTCCCAATATTCACGATGTGGAAACCATCAACATCCTTCTCTGGAGCAATGGCGTTGCATACAGCTCGTTCATTGATGTGGTCTAAAGAAACCAGAATGGGTTGAATGGTGTCAGCGTGGTAAACTAAATCTACAGCGTCCCACGTTTGTTTACCTGGAAGAGGCAGCTGCACCAAAAGGCCACTGACCCTCCAATCACGGTTCATTTTGTCAATCAGCTCCAGCAACTCTTCCTGGGACACGGAGCCAGGCCGAACCACCGTGTCACTGGAAATACCTGTAAAGAGCAATGGCGAGCATGCCCAACAGTTAACCACATGCATGTTGTATGATGTAATGCAACATTTTAAGGACGATGGGTTTTTTAAACTAGGGGTAGACCAATATATCAGTCGGCCAACTGACTGTGCACAAAAAACGCTCATTTCCTGGTTCTGAAAGGAAGTATGTGTTGGTCATTTCTGGCTAGGATTAAGCTAATGAAAATATATAGTAAACAAGGATCAATTAAGATATTTAATTGTAAAATTTTGCTTTGATTGGCATGTCTGTGTTGATATGCGTGAGCATGTGTGTGTATCAGCCTACTCCCCACCCCCTTAATGGAAATGAATGAAAGTAAGTAGATGTAGCAGCTAGAAAACAGGAGAATAGCAGCGCACGTTTCCACTCACTTACATAACAGTTATCCATTAATGTCAGAAAATGATAAAAATGTAAAACTCGCCTTGTATTAAAGGGACTTTACGGACTTTTGAATTTTTATGCTCGTGATTGCCCCCTCAGGCCAAAAGTAAAACGGCAGCTTCAATAGTAGGCTCGTGCACGAGGCGCGCATGCTGTACGTGCACACTCCTTAACGAAAATAAAAGCTGAGACAGTGTGTGTGTGTGTGTGTGTGTGTGTGTGTGTGTGTCTGTGTGTGTGTGTGTCTGTGTGTCTGTGTGTGTGTGTGTGTGTGTGTGTGTGTGTGTGTGTGTGTGTGTGTGTGTGTGTGTGTGTGTGTGTGTGTGTGTGTGGCCCAGAGGACAGAGGACAGGAGAACACGCAGCTAATTAATTAAATAATTTGGTTCTGTAGCTTTCTCTTCAGCACAGCCGACAAAGGTTTATGATGGGTCAGTCCTCCTGCATGCTCAGATCATTCCCTTCCCTTGCTTGAAAAATTGTTCCAAAATGAAAGTTGAACCCACATCTTTTTAATCTGTGAATTCAATGCCGTTCGGCGAGTCTCAAATAAAAATTTGGGCATCTTACTGTAAAAAAATATACCATTAATGTAAAAAAGAAACTATGTTCACATCGAGAATTGAGCCCGGGTCTTCAACACGAGAGCCCAATGTCTTACTAGGCGAGCTAAAGCGCCAGCGACATCCTTTGTATCTGTAACATTTATATCCTTGATGGCAGCTGAAACAACGTTCAAAGAACGGTTCGGAGTGAAAATGGCTATTTTGTTGCTAATTAGCAGGAAATATCTAGAAGAAAGTTCTACAGAAAGTAGCTAAGGGTCCTCAGAAATGTAGCTAGCTTTGTCACTAGGCGTTAGGAACAGCGACAAAGTGGCACTGCCTCTCTCTCTGCTGCTAAAGCTATGGATAGCAAATGCTACGGGCGATGCCTGAGCGTGAACGCGCATGAAGCAGCCTGCTCGACCCGAGCATCTCTCTTTTTCTGTGATTTTACAGAAAAACAGGCGATCACAGTTAAAATGCCAGGGCTCATTCTACAGGACCAGGGCATTGCAGGAGAATGTATGAAGAAGACATTTATTATTTCTATACATGTTTTGGCTGTCACACTTCCTTATAGTCCCTTTAAAAGGTAAAACACAAGTTATGTACACAAGACTTATGTCTTTCTTGCCACCAGCTCCAGCGGATTGTCCTGTTTAATAAGCACCCCAGTTGTGTGAGCATGCTCTCCAAGCTCCAGCCCCACACTCGTCTGATCACCAAACGTCTGTAAAGGACCCCGGATAATAACAACAAAGTACATCCGCTATGCTTACTACCAAATAAAGGGCTTTAGTGGCATTTAATGCCTTATTTAGAGGCTGCACTGCTGCCACAACAACTCCCATTACGCCGATCGTTGATGGATATTTCTCAGACTCTAAACAGCACCAAACTTCTCTGGGTGAGTAAATGAACATATTGCATAGTACAAATAAGGTCCAGGTAGGAAAAAAAATGCTGTTACTGTTTAATAATATTACAATGCGTTTGTCTTGCCCCTGTTAATCAGGTTAGCACAGCTGCGTTGTGTACTCACCCTCATAGCAGTCCACATACTGGGATATGTACAATTTGAATCCCTTTATCGTTTGTTTTGTGAAGCGGTTAAAAAAGTGTCGACAATATATCATATTGGCATCACTGTGAAGATGACAGGAAGTACCACGGCTCTCCAGAGTTCAGCAACCGGCACTAGTGTTTGCCATCGCGGACAGGGTCAATATATTGGGCTGACATTTGCCATTTTTTATACATTGGCATCAGTCGATATTTGTTCTTAGCAAAGCCAATTTAAAGTCAGGCACATCCTCAGGCAGCCTGGTAGGGTTGCATAATTTAAATGTATATTATGTTCACTAATAAAATATGCATCATAAATACTCTGAATTAACTTTATTTAGGTGTCTGGCTTTAACACTGAGCAAAGCACAAACTGATTCAGCTTCAGAAATTTTGTGCATCAACTGATGTTAACAACATTTTAGCATTAAAATAAGGTGGAAAATGTCTAGATATTGGGCATAAAAATCATCCCATAAAAATCACCAGTGCATATGGGTATCGGCAATAGAAAAGCCAATATCGGTCACCAGTGGCGGCTGGCCAGTAGAGGGCGATAGGGCGCCGCCCTCCCAGTTTCCCCAGTGTTTTAAATTTTTATTTAAAAAAATAAGTAAATAAAATTAACAATAATCACATATTCTAAGTTAATTGTGTGTTTTGTAACAAAAATAGATCATATATATATATATATATATATATATATATATATATATATATATATATATATATATATATATATATTGGTCTCTGCCGATCCCTGCCGAGCGGTGGAGGCTGTGTGCTGTGTTTCAATCGCCCAAACAGGACGAGACCAGCTGTCCAATTGCTGACAAGAAAATCAAAGGGTAGGAATGGGAATGTATCCAATCAGCGTCGACGTTGTTTCAGAACGTTTCAGAAGCATGATGGGCGATAGAGCTACCGCCAAGGCTTTCGTTGGTGTTCGGTAGAACTCGGAGAGTCTCGTGACGCAGATGTAATGGACGCCAGTGAGCCTACAACCAGGATACCGGATCTCAGCAGCCACTGAATTCAGTTCGGTCTCTTCTCCAGTATCCGTTCGAGAGGAGAACTATGGTGGAAAAACTTAATGTCAAAGAGCTTGGACCAGATCAGCCTGACGTAAAGATAAGCCAGCAGGAGGAGGAGAGAGGTAAACTGTACACACGAGGCTTCTGGGAAGGCTTGGCTAGCTGGATGCAATCACGCTAATGCGTTATTTTGCTTTCCGTGTTTGTTATTCAAAACGACGGTGACAGATGAGGCAAGGATGAGTCAGGAGTTACGGACATGAAACATTTTCCTGAGAAGGTGAAGAAACATGAGTTATCCCGGTCACACATGGACAACACGGTGAAGCTAGCTATGCTAGGCAGAGCTAACATTGCCATGCAGCTAGAGACGAGCGCAGGCTTGCAGTGAAGAAACACAATGAAGAAGTGGATCAGAACCGGCACATTTTGTCCAAGAGAGAGATGTCAACACAATGTATGAGCACAAGGATGACCTCCTCAGATGTTTCCAGATGATCAGAGGCTCGGATGACTTTGATCCAGTCACTGAGAGAGAGGCAGTAGGCTTTGTGAGAATGCTGGAGGAAGAAGATTTCAGCTTTCTGCTGGCATTGTGTCACAAGATCATGCCACATGTGGACATGCTGTTCAACCAGCTGCAGAAGAGGAACATTGACTCCGTCTACATCACAGGGGTCATCCAGAGCTTCACCAACAGCATGCAAAAGATCAGGTACATACTTGTTCATTTAATATTATTGTGATGAAATTCTCCAGTATGTTAGTTTCACAAACAGTAATGTGGATGTGGACCATATATGATCGTGTTATTTTATGTGCAATTTAATGCAGTATTTTTCAACCTTGGTCTGCAAGGCAGCATGCCAATAGTCAGACACACCTGGATTAATCAGTTTGTCCAATGATGTAAGACAGGAAATAAAAGAGCTGTGCTTAATTCAGGAAATAGTGGAGTTGTGCACAAAGCTCAGAAAGCACAAGTTTGTTTAAAAATAAAAAATAGCACAGCCCCACCAAAAATATTTTTCACCAGCCGCCACTGTCGGTCACCCTCTACTTGCAACCCAATTCTGGCCTAAAAGAATAATAATAGTTAAGTTTGTTTCTGACCCAAGATGCTGGCTGCCCGGGTCTTGTTCCTAACGTAGGCGCGGCTGGCCGGGTCATCTCCCACCAAGACCACTCCAAGGTGGGGTCTCGGGTTTCCCTGAGCCACGAGCTCCTCCACATCCCGTTGGGTCTCTCTGTGAATCTGTCGAGCCAACTCTGTTCCCGAAATCACCACAGCTGCACACCTGGGGGAGTGGAGCGATGACAGAAACCAGCATTAATGGATCACTGTTGAACATGAACAATATAAGCTGATGAGATAAATGGCACCAAAAATACATTTTAACATATTTCAGTTGTTTCATCACCAGATTCATTAAAAATGTCCTCGCCAATGTTTAGTGCTACTATTTCCTCACTAGTATTGGTGGAATTATCCGGGTTTTTGTTTCCATGGTAACGTTTAAAATGTGCGTTTGTGCAGCAAAACTACACGATGTACATCAAGTAACGAGCTGACAGCACCGGTGTAGTGCCGAAAACTGTACCCTCCCGTGATTACATCCCCCTGCCTTTCCAACAAGATTAACTCAAACGCTGCGCGTTCTTATGAGCAAACGTACTGAGTTACTTAACTCCGACACGTCTGTCAACATCGTCGTTTGAAGAAAACTCAAATTCTGTATCTTTTATTCGTTTAACCGGCGCGCTCTACCGACGGTGACATCCGCTGTCAATCACCATCTTCTGCCACGTGACTCTACGTTCTGCCGCGTGACTCTACGTGCAGTCCACCGGCGCCCGAACGTGACGTCGCTCCTCTAAACCGGTTAACTACGGAAAGTCTTTGAACTGTGGCCCCCTTTACCTCCACGCGGAAACATGTAGGGGTCTCCGCTGAGCCTCGTGTTTTCCGCGTGTCCGCAGCTTGGTGGGGCAGCGGTGATGGTGGGCGGTTAACGAGCCGCAAATCCTGAAGGAGGAGCGTAGAGGTGTAACGGATGCCGCCATATTCGTGTGCTTGACGTAGGGCGTGCGTAGGTACGCAGAGAGGTGGCGTTGCTTTAGGATGTGAGTTTATCTACTGAGTGGAAGGAAAGTTGTGTTGTGGAAGATGTAAAGTGTGTTACTAGCGTTACCTCGGAGGCAGCAACAGTTTTACTCATGTGCACGGACCTGTCGAAGCCACAAATGTAAGAAATAAAAGAAATAAATTAACATTTTGGGCATTCAAAAATTGTTCTCATTGGATGGAGTCCCGCGAGGTCAGATGTCAAAATATATCTGCGATCAGTGTTTCCCAATGTTGGGGTTGGGACCCCACTGAGGGTCACCAAGAACTGCACAGGGGGTCTCGAGACAATTTTCAGAAATCAGAATAGAACTGAAAAACAACTGACTGAATATTTCTATCATGATCATTACAATAACTAAACTAAATGGTCATAAATTGATTTAAGTGATTATAAGCTGAAGTGTTTTTCTTTGTGTCCAGAATAATTTAAGTTTATAAGCATGTTGGTATTGTCAGATCAGAGAAATCTGGAGTTACTATTGCTTTTACGATCGTCTAGCGCTGGGAAGCCACTGTCTTAGATCGCTAATGAGTGATTGGGTGAGTGTGTTCTTGTGAATGACAACATGTTTGGGTAAAACACTCTTTTAGTCTTTAATTTCCAGTCAGACAGTTCAAACCCTTGTTTATAGTAAATAAAAAGTGCAGCTCATTGCATAAGACAGTGTTCCCATGAAGAGGCCCATTCCATGCTTACCTGTGTTTATGTTACATTCAAACTTTAACAAGAGAGATTCAAATCTTGATTTCACATCAGATGAAAAAAGCAATATGATGTAGGTTATTTTGTTGATTATTTTTGTTTTTGGAGCTATATTTCTTTATGAATTCCTGTGACTCTTAGGCTAATTGGTTGTTTGTTTGTTTTGTAAAGTTCCTAACTAAGTATTGATTATGAGTTTAAAGTGTGCAAAAAGCAAGGATGTTAGTAAACACAGCCTAAACTGGAAAAAAATATATAAGTAAATCAAAAACATGTACACATTTGGTCACACAAAGAAAGAAGATAAAACCTCAGAAACAAACCTATTGACCCATGTTCACAAATGCATTGCTCTGTTTTAACATGTATTCCCTCTGCATGAAACTTATTGAATTATTCTTGTAGCATTTTTGTTTTCTCTTACTGAAGAAACGTCCAGAACACCTAAAATCCCAAAGGGAAAGAAAGCAGAATCACTAAAGTCCTTGGCCACTAGATGGCAGCAGATGTGCAGTTACTGCTGTCTTTGGGTCCTCTGGTCAGAAAGACATGAAAATATAGACCAAATTTTTATGTAAAAATTAAAATAATAAGATATCTGGAAATGTCAAAACAACTTTTAAATCATAACAAATTCGAGCTGTTTAAAGAGCAAGTCACCAGATTCTTACTGAACTCCCACTTCCTGTTTGAAAAATGCAACAAATGCTGTTGCCTTGCAGAACACTGACAAACACACACACACACACACACACACACACACACACACACACACGCACACACACACAGGCTCACACCTGCATTGTGACATCACATGGTACCAGCTAACGATCTAGGGCACCTCTTAGCCAATAGCGATGGCAGATTTAAATTCAAATGCAGTGCAGAGTGTTTACCTGACAACGGCACAACACTGACAGTTTTAGGCAGAAAATTTAATTTTAACTAAAATGCACTAAAGTGCAAAACTATTGACTACACGTGTCTGCAGCACGATTAGACACACATTTATTAGTTTATTAGAAAAAAAGTTGATTTGGGGGTGACTTGCTCTTTAAAAAATGATAATTTTCTCTATGAAAAACACACTCAGTATATAATAAAGTATTTATCAGTACACATTAAACGTCATGGACAGCTTGGATATAGAGAATGGATTTTTCTTTGGATGCAAGTCACAAGAAGCAACGAATATTTACACAACACCTAAAAGTAAATGCTGATATAGTAAACAACGTATTTTCCTTCCAGTTAATACCACTATAAACTCACCAAGAAATAGAGACAACATTCACTTGTTAATAAGTCAGTGTTTTTATTTTGTTATTATTATTATTATTATTAAAGACAGTGAGTGTTGCTGGGAAACTAACACGCATCAGCTAGTGAGCTAAATTAGGGAAAGCAACACCATGGTAATTGTTCATGGCTCGCAGAAATCAGATGTCATCAGGATGGTGTTAAAAAGTATGAATGTTTATTTTTTAGCTGTTCTTATCACTTCTGTATAAAACCAACTTGTTTCTTTTAAAAAGCCACGAAGACAGTCTGGCTGACACATTTAGAGTAAAGGTTTGTTTGCGAGCGTGTTCAAATAAAGCCGTCAAACGCTGCGCCCAGCAGGCCTGCCTGGGCCTGAGCCTCATCCCGTGTGACAAAAACTCATCTGAGACACGTGTTCTGTTTGCAGATCCATAGGTTAGTTACGCAAGTCCCAACAGTCGGCTTTAAAACTGCACCTTTCCCATAGATTTATAGGTTAAAAACAGAGGTTCGATTGTAAATACTACAATAGCTAAGCAGAACTCGTAAGAATGAAACGTCTCTGGAAAAACAAAAATAAATAAAGTTAGTCAGTTTCCTGTAATGATGTGATGTTTGTTGTGTGAGTGTTAAAGAGGCCGACTGTACGTCTGAGGCACAAGATGCTAATCCCTTCATTTGGTTAACAAACATCCCATGAAAATAATTGGGTTGCTCTTTTCTGAGCTTTTAAAAAGTTTTGGTTCATATTTTTTCTGATGCTTTGGAGGTCCTGCAAAGTTTTTCTTTCTTCTTCTCAGCTACCTTCCAGCACCCGACCATTTACAGAAAGGATTATTCATTTCTGCGTAGCATTCAACTTTAATCTACGAGTCATTCGTGCAAAGAAAAGGTCGTAATCGTCCTATTTTTCAAGCGGTCATTTTCAGATAGTTTTTATTTTGCATCATAGTGAAATGGGTAAGCAAATACTATAAACAACACAACAATTTAGTGCACCACCCCAAACTCTGGCCCCCAATGAAAGATTTCTAGGGACGCCCCTGCATTTTAAGCGCTTGCACGCACAGATAAATGAAATTTTAATATCTTGGTGTCTTATTTGCAAACAGTAGGATGGAGTAAGAAGTGGAATGATGGATGTGTGATATTTCTGCATCAATAAGGGCATTGCTTTAGTTTGAAGTGGGGTAAAAAAGGAATTTGGCTGAAAGGCAAAACTCTTGTTTCACTGTTTCTGTCTGTGCTCTAATCCTCACCTGAGGTCATGATCATCACTTAAAGAACAAGATCCTGTATTAAAGTGTTAGAAATGAGCTTGGAGAAAAGCTACCTCATCATGAAAAAGGGACAGCCGAGCTGTGAAGGTTTTCTGGGTATGTCCCACTGAGAGAAGACCACTGGGTGTCCCACTGAGAGAAGACCACTGGGTGTCCCACTGAGAGAAGACCACTGGGTGTCCCACTGAGAGAAGACCACTGGGTGTCCCACTGAGAGAAGACCACTGGGTGTCCCACTGAGAGAAGACCACTGGGTGTCCCACTGAGAGAAGACCACTGGGTGTCCCACTGAGAGAAGACCACTGGGTGTCCCACTGAGAGAAGACCACTGGGTACCCCACTGAGAGAAGACCACTGGGTGTCCCACTGAGAGAAGACCACTGGGTACCCCACTGAGAGAAGACCACTGGGTGTCCCACTGAGAGAAGACCACTGGGTACCCCACTGAGAGAAGACCACTGGGTGTCCCACTGAGAGAAGACCACTGGGTGTCCCACTGAGAGAAGACCACTGGGTACCCCACTGAGAGAAGACCACTGGGTGTCCCACTGAGAGAAGACCACTGGGTACCCCACTGAGAGAAGACCACTGGGTGTCCCACTGAGAGAAGACCACTGGGTGGGCAGTAATTAGTATCTTTTTAGCATCTTGGCATCATTCATATGAAGGTTGAGAGTATTGCAAGGAAAGATGGAGCTCGACGAGTGGTTTGGTGCTGCGTCTGCATTGATGCAGACGTTGTACTGGTTTGTCAGGGTGAAGAGAGAGCTGAGCCAAAAGGCAAGCTCTTGATTTACCAGTGGATTCCAACCCTCAACTTTGGTCACGAGCTTTGGGTAGCGACCAAAAGAACAAAATCAAAAATATAAGTAGCTAAATTGAGTTTTCTTCACGGGGTGGTTGAGATAGGATCAGAAGCTTGGCCATTCGGGAGGAGCTCGGAGTAGATCTGCTGCTCCTTCTCATCGAGCGGAGCCAGTTGAGGTGCCTCGGACATTTCGTTGGGATGCCTCCCTGGTGAGGATTTCTGGGCACGTCCAACCTGCAGGAGACCTAAAGGAAAGACCCAGGACATGCTGGAGTGATGCGTTTCTCGACTGGCAGGGGAGCACCTTGGGATTGCCCCGAAAAAGCTGGCCCAAGTGGCTGGGGAGAGGGAAGTCTGGGCCTCTTGGGTTGCTCCGCCGCTACGTGACCTTTACGTGCAGAAAAACAGATGGATGGCAATGTCTCAAAAAAGCTAACAACCTCAAAAAATCCACAAGAATTCACAACCACTTTGATTAGAAAAAAGCTTTAGTGATCTAAAAAAGTCACTGCAAGCCAAACAACTGAAGACACGATTACGCAAAGTGTTATTGAAGAAAGTTCAGTTGGTAATTTACGATGGGGATTCGGGTGGGCGAGGCAGCAGGGATGGGTGATTCTGACTTGTCCCAGTCCCACCCAGTAACAGACTGGAGTAGTCATGTCTCAACAAGACCCACTCAAGGGGGACAGGAATGTTTCAGTTAAATTACAGCTTTGGTGACCTTTCTGTACATTTTAAAGCAATTTAAAAAAAAACTAAAAACACATTCCATCTCCCATCCCATCAGCAGACTGAGAGCTCTCTGTGTTAAAGGCTGGCTAACAATCACCCTTCCAAAGACCCTGCTTTCCTTCCTCCCTCCCACCCACCCACCGCTGTTGA